ATGGTGTAGGATTCTTAATGTAATGACGATAAACTTATGTTTAATAAATGTCTCGCATTTAATGCTTATTTGCAGCGAAAAAAAAAAAAAAAAAAAATAGTATATATTATAAATATATATGAAATAAAATCCACATGTATATCGTACCTTAGCCCTTAAATATATATTAAATTTAAAAATATTGACTTTTTTTTATTTAAACAAATAAATAAATACTAATAATTTTTTATTGAAAAGAAAAAAAAAACAAAGAATATAATTTATAATAAAATTTAAAAAAAATCAATATTACACTTTATAAATTGCTAATTAATTGTATATTAAATTTAATATCTTTTTAAATATTAGTAAAACTTTTTATTAATTAAGTTATATTCAATAAATTAAGCAATTTTACATACTAATACAAAATCAAAAAATATTGAACTTTTTTTAACTATAATTAAAAAAATAATACAAGTTTTAAATAATTAGTTATATAAATAAATTTATCTTGAAAACAAAAATTAAAACCAATTTATTTTTTTCAAGTAAAGATAATTGAATAAAATTAATATAATATTTAATGCTATAACTAAAAATCTTAACAATTTAATTTAATTCAATTCTTGATTTTCTAATTTATATTAAATTTGATATATAGGTTATAACTTACTATTATTTTTAATAGTGTTTCAAACTTTATATAAGTTTATATGAGTCTATTTAATTCCAATTTTTAGAACCATAGTTTAAAAAAATTAATTAGTTAAATAAAAGTTGATATTTTTTTTTTAAAAAAATTTTTTTAAAAAAAATTAAAAAGAAAGAAAAATTGAACTTTAGTAAAAATATATATATATATATATATATAAGAAAAAAAATAAATTATAAAAAAGTTTATATAGAAAATAAATAAAAAAACTTTTTTTATTGATTCTTTTATTAATCCAAAAAATAGATGTTTTCAAAAGATTTTATTTTTTTATGATAATAAAATCTATATATTTTCTTTAATAACATTGGTTTTCTAATTAGCAAAATAAGCAGTAACTACTATTTGTTTTATTTTTTCCTTTTTAAAATATTTTTCTTGTTTATTTTTACAACTAAATATAAAAAACCTATCTAAAAAGCCTATGGCAAGAATACTTTAGAAAGAAAACTAATAAGAAAAAACATTTTTTAAAAGTTTTCAAGAGATTCAAAAATTCAAAAAAACAAAAATAAAGAAATCTTTAGTTTCTCTATCCTTTTTGATTTTCTACTTCTTCTTTCTCAAGTATGATTCTTTTTTTTTAATTTTTTTTAGAAATTTTGCCTATTTTAATTTGATTCTAAATTTTTTATTATATTGAATCTTCTAAAAGATAATTGGTTAAGGCCATGGATTGGTTGATCATATCAACTATAAAAAAAGTAAACAAGATATATACTTCTTATATGTTTTCAGTTATGCAATATTAAACTAAAAATCCTAATGATTTTCTTTGATTCTATATTTGATTCTCAAGTTTATATTAAATTTAATAAGTAGGGTATATCCATTATTATTTTTAATAGTGTTCCAAATCTCATGCAATTCCCTGTGATTCTATTTGATTCCAATTTTTGGAACCATATATCAAACTGATAATGTGATTAGTTTTTGAAAAAGTTGGATATTTTTAGTTGAAGAAGTAGTATAAAAGTATTAAGTAAAGTAAAAGTTATAGATAGAAGAGAAATAATACATTTTTTTTGTTTTTTTTTTGTTTTCTTATTTTTTTGTTTTCTTATTATTTCTTGAGAACAGAAAGTAATAACAAGATCTAAGTTTTATCCCAATTTGGCAACAAGTTAAAATATTTATATTTATCTTGAAAATAATTAGAAAAAGGGGTTTTAAAACTATTCACTAGTTGAGTAAAGTAATAATTCCAAAAAAATATAGCTTGGAAGAAAAATTAATAATAGAAAATTAATATCTTTTCTAATTAAAAGTCTTTAAATATAAAGTTTCAAAAAATATTCTTTTGGAAGTGCTCTTAAATATTCTTGAATATTAATCACTTCAATAAAAATTAAACTATCTAATTGATTACAGGTAATGAAAAGTAAAAAATTATAAGAAACTTGAATTTTAAGTTTATTAAGATAATCTTTTCAATAATAGTTAAAATAGATGATAGCTTTTTTATCTTTTTTTTTAATTACTTTTTATATGTACAATTGTACTGTTTTTTCTTTCTTGTTCTTTTTTTTATTTTTTTCTTATATAGTTTCTACAAGAGAAAGGTAATACAATTTGGATTTATAATCATAACTGTAAAGATAATCTATAGATTTTAATTCTATTAAAGTACTGGAATATTAATCTTTATCAATAGGAGAACAACATTTCATTTTATAAATTGTATCTAGAGATTTTAGTTGTTAATGAGTAAGCTAGGTTAAAGAAATTTGTACTTTGCAAGTATTTTATACTTGTAATGGTTTTATTTTGATTTAATAAATAAATAATATTAGTTTAATTGCAAGATTAAAAAAAAAATTTATATAAAAAAAAATAAAAATATGGGTAATTATTTTTGAAGGCGACAAAAATGCTAGATATGATTTTTTCGGACCCAACTTTTAAACAATATAAATTTTAGGATCACGCCAGAAAATTTCCAGTCCACCTTCGAAAATAATTACCCATATATACAATATATAATGAAGAAAAAATAAGAAAAAATAAGAAAAAAAAAAAGTAAAAAAGTAAAAAATAAAAAAATAACTTATAAATTTTCTAAAAAAAATAATTTTCAAATATAAAAAAAAAAAGAAATAAAAAAATTTTTTTAAAAAAACAATAAATTATATAGTAAAATTAATAAAAATTAACATGTTTAAGCAGGTTTTATTAAGTAATATAAAGATAAATTTAATTTTTTATTTTTTATTAATAGACTTATAAGTATATATTCAAATTTTTGTTATGAATATAAAAAAACTTGAATTCAAAAATATAATTTTTTAATATTTTAACTATTTAAATATTAAATTATTTTTATTTTTATTTGCAATTTTGATTCTTATTTAATTTTTTATTTTGTAATTAGATAAATTTTTAAAAAAACAAATGATTTATAAGTTATAATAAACTATTTATTAATGATAAAATTTTTAGGTTAATACAATAATAAATAAATTTTTAAAAAAATACAAATACTTATGACTACTATAGTAAGTAAATAATATTTTATTTTTATAAATTATATTTAAAAGTCTTGTATTGTCAATAAATAAATTATATAATTAAAAAATTTTAAATAATATATTTATATTTTATATTTATAATTAATTTAATAAATTTAATAAATTTATAATATTAACTTAATATACGTAAGTATAAAAATAGTTTAATAGTTATCTTGATAAACTAGCATTTAATTCAATTTAACTAAAAGATGAAAAATTTTTTGCAAGTATATACAGTATTTTTATATATATTATAATAAAAAAATTATTACTTATGAAAAATTAAAATAAATAAATAAATAAATAAATAATAATAATAATAAACAAATACTGTATTAAAAATACTAATAAATATGTGGAAAAAAAAATAAATATGATAATATTTTATAACTTGAATATTAAATTTAATTTCATGCCAATTGATTCCTTTTGACAGATTAATGATTTAAACCAAAAACATCTTTAAAAAAAATAAAAGAGAAGTTAATATGTATTGTATATACACTTCATATGTACACATTCCAACTTTTAAACAAACAAGGCAAAGCTGAGTCAATGGCTATCTAAGATAAAGCTACTGTACTATAGTAGTACGAATGCAAAAGACCTTTGTTATAAATCGAAATTTAATGTTCTAATCAAATATATCGAACCTTATCTTTATTATGCATGATTTAGTGATACAATGCCTATTTGTACTGATTATAACTAACTTTGACTTCTGTTATTGTTACGAATCGCCATTCAGAAATTGCCACTATAGAGTGCTTTTCCAAAAATTATTATAGACTCCCGAATTAAGCTACTTAAATGGACTATTGGGAGCTGCGTCCGATTTTTTAACGTCGAGATTATTTAGGGTAAGGATTAACAAATGCGAAACATTGACCAAAATCTTGATTTGGCATTTCGACACTTAAAAACATCCTAAGTTCCAGAAGATCGCCCATCAGCCCACTATAGATTTTGATGATTGGAGATACGTAAGAATGATGAATAAAAACATGCATAAAACGCTAAGATTGTATGCGCGCGACCCGCAGAAATATTAAAACTTTCTTTACTGTTCGCCATCTTTTAATTCTGAAATTTTAACCGGCAGCAAATTTTGTTTTGTGAAAGAACAATAGTTAAGAATCATGGAAATTATACAACCGAAGTTTGTGTTTAATAGTTCAGATGCTTCGAAATTTTTACCAAAAGATGATTCTGGAAATAACCTAGATGATATATCGAAGACACAAAATATTACATCATGCAATCAAAATCGTATCAATTTAATAAAACAGACTAATGGGCAATTTGACAGGTTCATTGATGGTGATA